CTTTATACCAATGGTATTCACTATACATTCTGGCAATAAATTTGTAAACTAACAGAACTTAAAAATAAAATAACATCTAGAAAAAGTATATTGACAATGCATATTTCGAATAATGTTTAGGCCTTTTATGTTCAATTATCACAATTTTTGAAACATACCACTTCAGCACGGTTATGTAATAAATAATAGAAAATATACATAATTTAAATCATATTGGTGAAATAATAATTAAATATACTGTGAAAAAGTCGTGATACTAAAATCAAAGTGCTAAGATTTTTTTTTTTTTTTACATTAAACTGTTTTTAATTTAGTACAAAACATTTTTCCCATTTATTAATTTGGTGAAATGTTTGTAGAAAATATTGTACTGTTTGATTAGAAAGTATCAGGAGTACAATTTTTTTTGCATTAGGCTACCTGGTTTCTTTGAATGTTTCCAGGATAAACAAATGTCGATTTTGTCAAAACATTTAGTAGCTCTAAAGTGCCATGATCTAGTATTGTTGTAAGTTTTGATACGGAATGATTCTCGGGCCCTTTACCCAATGGTATTAAAACAAATGAACTTACAAGAATTATTTTTTAGTTGAGAAATGAGTTGGGATTCGAAAACAAATGACTATTTCTTAGCAAGAAATAACTTGTAAAAGACAATGAATAAAACTAGCAGACTTGTGAAGATAATGAAATTGTCCTACAGAAGAAAGTTGTCATGGGAATATTTAGCATCAATAGGGTCAGACTTGAACAGATAAAAAAATTGAAATATGCTAAGATCTATTTGCATGGACCTAGTTGCAATGACTGCAAGCGTTTATCAATGGAAGTAACATATTTTGGGCTGCTAAATAAACTTTACATTTGTTACTTATTTTTTAAATAACATTTATAACAGAAAAATATTCCTGTATTAAAAAGTAATCTGAAGTATATAACATTAAGGGAGATGTAAGATTAAATTTAGAAAAAAAAAATACTGCAAATTATTACACAATTAGTTTATTATTCTCAAATAGTTATATATCAAATGCGACACTACTTTCCTTAACATTTCAGAGAAAATAAATGAAAGGTGTTTACTAATCAATAACCAACCAGGTGTTCCAGTTGTCAAAAAACAAAACACAGGAAGTCCATTTTGCAGTAGAACACGAGTTTAACATTTAGAGCACTTTATCTCTGCACTAAAATGTCCAATTTTCAATGCTTATTTTTTTTTTTTTTTTTTTTTATGAAATTTTGAAGGGAAAGGGCGGATGGTCATGTCGAGTTCTGAGGAACATCCTAGGGTGACCTCTGCCATTGATATAAAAACAATTGGCTCTATAGACCCAGAGAAAAGCTGCAAATGAATAGATTTTATATATTTGATTTTCGGATTCTACGTACCTTGAAACATAAAACCTCAAATATTGAGGGGCTATTTATTTATTTTCTTGATAGATTATAAAAGTTCAATATTGATAATAATACACCAAAAATCATGCTAGATGGTAAGCCACATCACCCTGAATGACTGACATAAAATATTTGTAAGATTGAAAGAATTAACTTCACAGAAAAAAACTATAAGTCTATCTGTGATATAAGAGAAAATGAAATAGAACATGACAGCATTGGGCACTAATCTACTTTAAATCTGAGATATGAACAAAAGAAATAAAAAATTGTGAAATTAATAAACATATATAAACTTTTTTACAGTATTATACATATCAGAATATCTTTTAAATTGCATACTTTCAATTTCTGAACTTTGAGAATTTAATAATATATACAGATAAATATATAAATAGTTTATAAATAAGTACTTATGTAGAATTACAATACTTTTCTATTTTATAAATGAAGATGGTCCACTGAACTGACTGTTGGAGTTGTTTTAAGCTGATGGTGAAATTGTTTAGTAACGTTGAGAAGTAATGTGTTATTCGGAAAGTTTAAATTTAAATTATTCAACAGATTCTGGATAAGATATTAGCAATATTAGATTGTAATAATATTTTGCTATTTACAGACTATCACTAGTTATGAGAATAAACTAAGTCACGTTCATTATGATGAAATCTTGTATATATTGTTAATTATATTATAATACACTATGCGAATTTTGTTAATTAAATTTAATCAAGCGCACATATTTAGAGTAAAAAAAAATCTTTATGTTTTCTAAACTATTTACATTGAATACTTAAATGTTTGGTACACACAGTAATCTTTGAATATCAAATGTCAAAATAATAAACAGAATAAACTTGGTATAAATCCTTAGATATCTTGTAATAGGTACCAAAAAAGAACATCTTGTATCATAACTTGTTTTTTTCTTCTCTCCACCTTACTTTCACTTAAAGTTTAGTCACATCAAGAAACATCTCAAACCCATAAAATTAGTAGATAGATCCTAGCGACACTTCCGGGTGTTTCGAGATGTAAACAAATTGAAAAGATATCAAGTTCCTTGAACTTATTTACATTGTTTGGTTTTATTTTCGTATGTTTCTCTGAAAGTTAATATTTCATTCAAAATATATAAAAAAAAATTCAAATAATGGATTTATAAATTTAACGAAACCATCATGAAAAAATAAAATTATGTAATTGGGCGATTCTCCCAAAAATGGGCACTTTTTATTCAATGTCTCTGGTGTGCTTCATACCAACCTGTTTTGGCCGAATCAATTTTTATGACTTAATATATGCCATAGACTAAAATTTCATTAATTTGTTAATCTCCTAATTGCAAAGCATCTTTATTTTATTTGGTCATAAACACCCAATTATCATTCCTTTGGTTAGCCCAAGATCAAGCTCTTCAGCTTTTTCTTCGTTAGCCTATGCAAGAATAATGAAAAGTCTAATCCAAATTCTGTTAGGTGGTATTTGCGCAAGTTTTAAAGCCTTTTAAGGAAATGTAAGGAAGATTGTCTAATGCAAAACACTTTTCATATAGGATTCATTTTATCCCGGTTTCACAATTTGATTCTCATTCCTTTGTCAAAGTTTGAATTTCCCACTAGAGACGATCCCTTAAAAGTAAGTTGGTTATACTACCTTGGAAACACAGACAATTACTGCCTTATGGTTTTGGTTCATAATTAGTGACCACAGAAATGTATTACTAGTGTATTTGTTTATTCTCTTCATTCTTTTGAACCCCTTTGTCAACTTGTAAATATCTTTCTATAAATGTTATTCTATATATACTAAGTACTCATAGATAAAGCTTTTCTTTTTTTATGTAAAAGACAACTGGTTTATCACCTATTGAAGCAAAAATACCTTATTCCTTCACCATTATTATTATAGAAAACAGCAGAGAAGTGAGATGTATGACAAAGAAATTAGATTTCTGCTAAAACCCAGAATGAAAGCAATAATAAGCTCCATAAAATAGGATATTTTAGGCTAAGTAGGTTTAATTATTTTAAAAGAATTTTAAGCAATATATTTTATCATACAATTTGTTTGTTGAAGCTATTTGGTTTTCTGTTTTTTGTATTAGGTTTTTCTATTCCGGCACAATTTTCTTGGGTTTAAGAAAAGTAGAAAACTATTGTTGTACTAAAACTTAACTTTTCCCTAAAGAAAATATTAACATTTTCTGTTCATTTGGGTCTTTATTAACATAAAAAGAAAAACAAATGAAATTCAGTAGTTAAGTGTTACGGAACATATCAAGAATTGATAATTATAATGATGAGTAATATTCAATTCAAACTTTCAAAATGCTCAATTTTTAGGGAATCACCCAATTGTTACAGATTAATATAGAAGAGCTGTTATTAACAATGTGTTCGTAATTCATAACAAGCCTGTTTAAATAAGTTCATATTACTAAAATTCAAAACTAGAATTTACTTCTGGTCCTTTATTGTCTTGAATGTATTTACAGATGAACCTCCAATACATAGAATTTTTCATGAATTTAAATTAGAAAAGCTTTATATATAACAAAATTAAAATGTATTTTCTAATGCAAAGCTAAACTAAATAATTGAAAGTAATGTAAGGCTTCATTTTTTTTTTATATAATATTAATAATACTGCTAAAATACAATTTGCAGATATTTAAGGTAATAAACATAAAACTTGATTCAATGAAATAAATAAATAAAGGGATGGAATCCCAGCTATTTAATAATTTTAATGTAGCATTGGTTGGGGCTGATCACCCTACTCATCAAAAACTAAATTAATATCAACATTAAAAAACAAATAAGAATCAACAATTCATTCCAAGCATATCAATGATGAATAATTAAGTTATTTTTCTTTCTATAAATAATAAAATCTTGAAGATTATTATAGGTATTGAGGTTCGACTGTATTTTAAGTTAGATAGTCTGATATCATCAGATAAGATGATAGTATCTGATCTGATAATATTAAATAAATTTTGAACATAGTAATTTCAAAAAAGGTTGAGACCTCTGACTATTTGTTATTTGTAGATTGACAAAAGTTATTGAATAAATTAATTTTAAAAAGTAATTTCAATTTTAATTAAACTCTCCACTATAATAATGATTTAAACAAACGTTGTGACAAAATTATCATAATTAATGATCACCATTGAATTTTGTGCAAAAGGAACACTGTGTACACCCATCTTCCAACAGCTAAATCACGACCCGTGCACCCGAACTCATTCTGGGAATACCACTCCATTTTAGTTAATAATATGAAATAGTATTTCATAATTTTAAACATTTTTTTCCCACAAAAAGATCAGAAAAATTTATTTTAGGTAATTTTATTGGAAGTATTTAATTTTTTGTGAATCAACCAAAATATTTATGAAATTTTATAAGTTAACAACTTGTAAATTTGTCTAGGTAATCATTATACTTTAAAAATTTGGATTCAAGCTCAGTATGAGCCTATGTCTTTAATTAATTACATTAAATTCTAGTTATGAAAGGTTTTTTAATAAATTGCACCCATATCGTAGTAGCTAAAACCGATTTACCTTAATACTGATGATACTAACATACCTGGTGACTGTTCCTTGGACCTTAGCCTCTTAACGGTTGAGAAAGTCTGGGAGAGTGCCGCCAATTGGAGCGTCTCCTGACATCGTACATCAGAGTGTTCAGGAGCCGTCTCCTCCCGCATTGAGTTCTCACACACCTGCTGGCAACAAATACTATGCGCATGGAGGTCACTGCCTGCATGCTATAGCCTTCAAAAAAACTTTTCATCCTTCTTCATCATCGAAAAACTCTTTTGTGTAATTATCACAAAAGTAGTTGACAAATATCATCGTCAACTTGCTCAGTAAGGATGATTGCGTATTATATAAATTAGATAAATATTACGCAGTGCTTAGAATGTTATTATTAGAATGGGTCATATTCCACCATTTTATTATTAATGTGGAAGTAGTTAAAAGTTCTTCTAACAAATATAGTCTTATCAAAACGAAATTTACAGAATGAAGGGATAGAAAATTACTGATTAATTTGAATTAAATTTACTGGAATAATTTTTGTCTTAACAAATCATTACTTTTATAGAATTTCACATTTATGACCAGAAAAAAAAATACACTGGTTTAATTAATAATTAAACCAGCGTTAGAGAGAACTTTGTGAATGTATACATAAGGTAATGCATTTAAAATGTATTTTGCTCTTTAGAATAACATTCTATTAACTAAGAGCAGATTAAACATTTCTTCTGATGATATCTCAATAATTTCTTTTTTAATTATTTTACGGTACCTAAACTCTAATACTTAATTTTTAATAGAAATAAATCTATCGCTATCTAAAGAAAATTGTATACCCACCAGAATAAAATATAACTAATTCAGACTAGCAAAAGAATTTCAGACCTTTCAGACTCAAGTAACTAAGCATAAAGGGAGCTGAGACTTTATAGATTCACATCTTTAAAACTTTGAATAAGGTAGCTAGTAAGAAATTTTTTAACATTTGTCAATCACATACCTTTCTATCGATAACAAATGTTTGCTTTACTTGAAATAGAGGAATGAAAATTTTGATGGGCTTTTTTTTTTTTCACTTTTGGTTTAAATCTCTTTAGGAGGCTATTTGAATTTTCCAAAAACTCACGGGTGGTAGAGGTTCATGTTCGGTAGAAGACTGCTGATGTGAATTTTGACCATCTTTTTTCTTCTTGTGATCTTTATCTTTTCGCTTTCCTGGAGGTTTTTCTCCATCACTGCAAAGAAAATGTCTTCATACAAATAATTATTTTATTTAAAAACTTGTTCTGTTTGGGAGAAAAAAAAATGAGGAAACGTTTTAATTTTAATTATTTTGATATTGCTAATGATACAGAATAATAATTAATAATTTTTATTTTAAGATTATTCATGTAATTTTATTTTTTAAGATGTCATGATATTTATTATTTCACAGCAATGGGCAGGATTTGGAGAAAGTGTAATATAGCATTAATTATGATTCATGCTAATTTATCATTTCATTATTGATAACACAGTTTTGAAGACTGCAGAATAAGACCTTAGGATATTTTATTAAGTGTGATATATGTTGCTTGCCATTCATTTGTATGTTACCCATCACCTCACTTTCTCTGAATAATATTACTTTGAGTTTGATTCAATTAAATTTTTTTATTCTTGAAATGGTCTCTGGAAATCCTGGGTTGAAATTGTAGTAGTTAATTGCTGCAAAGTCAAGTCTAGTCTATTGTTGATTTTTCTCTTCGTACTCCTTTAATATAAATCACCTCAACATAACTCCACATATTTCATTAACTGGTTATATAAGGTAATTGATAACCAGAATTATCTTAAAAACATATCTAATCTTCATTTTTACTGATTTTCTTAAGCTATTTATTTGCACTCTAATTATACTATATATTTTTGGTAGAAAATGATATTTATTCATTTCCTGTTTTATAATTTCAATATTCTTTACAAATGTGTGAATATGAAACTGAAATTCATCTATAGATGGCTCTAGTTGTTATAGTAGTTACCGTTAAACTGCATAATTGGAACTATTTTGTTTTTCAATAGCTGGCAAAGATTTTCAACTCACAACAATACAAGTTTCATTACCATACAGTTTTAATACTGTTAAACATGTCAAGTTTCGTGCCTACCGACTACAATTTGTGGACAGCATTAGTTTTCTATTCCCTTTTAAAGAAAACCACAACAGATAGTTGCATCGAATGCTTGTTGAAGTTTACGGTGAGTATGTATGGTAGAGTGGTTTAAAAAATTCAAAAGTGGTGATTTTTAAGTGAGAAATGAATAATGTGGAAGACCACCGAAAAAGTTTGAAGATAGTGAATTGCGAGCAATGTTGGATGAGGATGAAACTCAAACCCAATAACAAAGCGTGGATCAATTGAATGTAACACCAGAAGCTGTCTCCAAACATTCAAAAGCTGTGGGAAATATCCAGAAGATGGGAAAATGGGTTTCACATGAACTGAAAGAATGGTAGCAAGAAAACCATCTCCAAAATTCTGTTTGCCAGGGACAAAATAAATTATATCTTCATCCAATAGAGACTGGTGATGAAAAGCAGATATATTTTGAGAACCCTAAGTGTTAAAGATCATGGGTAACTCCTGACAAACCACCAACATCATTGCAAGACCAAGTTGCTATGGAAAGTGATTTTGCTTCATGATAATGTGCCATCATACAGAACAAAACAGAAGGAAACAATCGTGGCATTCAGCTGGACAATATTGACTTGGCTCCATCCATCTAATATTTATTTGCATAGATGGAGCACACACTTGCTCAGCAGCACTTCACTTCTTATAAAAAGGTACAAAAATGGCTAGATGTCTGGTCCTCCACAAAAGAGCACACATTTTTCTGGCATGGCATACATAAATTGCCAGATGGAAAAAATGTATATAAATTGGTCAAGAGGGCATTTCAAGGAATAGCATTTTCCCCAATTAACTTTTTCATCCAAACACTGACTTAAGTTCATCTTTAATAAGTACCAAAGGTTAATAAAAACTTTTTTAAGTAAATGCCTCTAAAATGTAAGAGTGGAAGAGGTGGTGGGCAAGCATGCTTCAGCAGCTGCAGAAGTCTGAGGCTCTCAGCAACATCTTGTAAGATCTACTACCTTCAGGACAGGTATGTGAAGATTACAGGAGGGATGTCCTCATAGTTCAGTCCTTGGGCCAGCATTATGGAAGTTTGTTTTTGATAAGTAAGTGAGAGTGTTAGAGGGGGAGCTGATCTTTTCTCCTCTCCATATGTAGATAACTCAGCAGCTGTGGTGGCCTTCAACAGCCAGAGCAAGAGAGAAGTTGAGAGATGTCAAGACTAGTAGCGAGTTGGTGTGAGGGAAAGGAAATGAGGATGCCACTGCTAAAATAAAAGCCATTCTCCTTGAAGGCAAGACTGATAGGACACAACCTGTAGCCATGGACATAAAGATCAGGTGATATGTCTAAGTGAGGTGGTAACCTACTCGTAGTAGGCCTGAATGGCTAAATTGGAAAACACGGCAGCAGGTAGGGAGGCCCAAGCAATGAATGGTCTAAATCTTGTGGGTGGCCCATTCTGGTGGCCACAATCACAATCAACAAAAGGTTAGTTGAGGGTATCCTTCAATGTCTCTTTTTGGGTTCAGGAACACAGAGAAATAAGCTGGCATCGACTATCAGGACAGCTTTGCTTCTCATCTCAACTTAGCATGAAGCGTTGTAGGTCTTAGCAGGGATTTTGCTTTTCGAACTCCTCCAACAGGGAGAACAGATCAAGTATATTTACAGGAAGGGTTTTTTCCAACCAAGCTATGTAGTCTAGGCAATATCTATATAGCTAGAACATCGATCCCCAATGTCCCACTTGTGGTGTTCCAATGACTGGTGAGCAACTGATCTCGATGAACCTGCTCTGCTTCGATGAACTAAGGGCCACACAAGAGCTTCCCACAATACATAGAATGTACTTAAAGTTGAAAGGCAGCTGTGGATCCAGCCCATTTCAACGTTTGAGCCCAGAGAAGAAAACTAGCCCAGGAAGATGGAAGTAATTCCTTCACTGTAGGCTATCATAAATAATGATTTCACAAAGCAGGTAGATATTTTAGTATTTAAAATTGCCTTTATGCCCTATAATCCTGTTGGTATATAAGTGAGTTTGTATATATATATATATATATATATATATATATATATATATATATATATATATATATATATATATAAGATGTTATAATATATAATTATAATGAGAAGTTGTTATATATAAGGTGATATAAAAAAAACATCTAATACAATATTAATTGTTATATAAGAAGATTGTGATTCCATACAAAATACATGTTGTAAAATAGATATCTATCCTTTAAATGAGAAAGTTATAAATAGATTAATGCTATAAAAATATGTAGTTCATGCAATTTGGTATTGGCACAAAAATTGTGGTGGGATAGCCATTGCTGCCAGATTTTATCTTTAAAAATAATAATGGTGAATCAAAATACAAAACAAAAAACGCTTACCTCAGGTTCAAGGAGAAATAAAATATGTTATGTACTCACTTATTGTTTGTTAAATGTGCACAATAACCACTATTACCACTGGACGTGCTGTGACGAGATTTTGAGCTTCCAGAGCTAAAAATAAATAAAATTACATAAATTAATAAATTTCCAGGGAATTAAAAAAAAAGTAAATAGGAATAGTTTATAGGAAAAAGTTATAAAACCTTCTTTCTTATGGATGGTATAGAGAATTGATCTAATATACTATAATTAATAATCAAATTATGTACATAAAAACTTTAGAAATTTCCTACATTATTTTTAGACAAAAAACATTTGTCAAAAAAGATACAATTTCATAAATCAAGAAAATAAGTTCTAACTTGAAAAAATTATTTGTTCTTGTATATTCCAGTCAGAATTCTCACATTAGATAGGTATCTTTTTCTCTAATACATTAGACATATAGTCCTTAATGCGATATCAGCGAAATATGTTTATTTTTATATGCAATGGAATATTATCAAGATAGTCTATTCAAAACATGTAAAATACGTGAAAATTTATACTTTACCATGTCTGTTAAAGTAATAATTTACTTAATAAGTGATTAACTAGTCCACTGAAAAATATCCCTAAATTTTAATAGTTAAACAATAAGACACAACTATTCCTAAACTTATACTAATCCATTATTGTGCTCACTCAAGACCTATTTGTAAGGTGTACAAGTCTTGCTTTGTAATATCGCAGAACCGTTCTCCTTCATCTACCTTTTCAATAGATATTTATTCCATGGAAGATAATCATAAATAGTAATATTTTAACTTTTAAAACCTAAAGATATAAGTATTCAATGGCAACCATATCACCACAGATACTTTTGGCAAAACTTGTGGTTTATCTCGAAAACATTACATTTTTCTGCCTTTAAAACATAGGTTACAGTATAGTTCCAAAGGATAGCAATATTGGGTATTGATGCCCCCATTAAAACCTAAAAACAAAATTTATTCTATCTTGATTCATCGATTTTTGAAACTATCTGAATTTTATAACCTCCCAATTTTTTTTATGAATTTTGTAGTAGTTAGGTTTTAAATTTTGAAATTTGCACCCTTCTCTCACCAAATTCCCTTTCATTTGATACCTCATTCATATAAATCTGTTGCTCCTGAGAACCAAAAAAGTCATCTACACCACCATATCAATTACATATAGTGTAGATAATAATGGTTAAGAAGAAATTGATTTACAAAATCGATTGTGATAAGCAATTATTTATAGACATTATCCATTAATTAAATCATAATATTATTGTAACTCTGAGAAGAGAAATCATTTGAGTTACAATACTACCATACACAAGACATTTCAACAACAAAAATTTTAGATTTCAGCCATGAACTGAGGTTGTTAATTTCCTATTATATTACTAATGATAATATAATGATGAGATATAACCCTGCAGAATCTGAGGTGGTGATGGATAATATGTACAGTATGCCATTGCAGCTCCTAGTAGAGATATTATTTGACAGTCACAATAAGCAATCCTAAAAAAAACGGCGGTTTCCTAAACTAAACCTGGATTGGAGCTAGGAAGTCAAATTGATTTTTCTCACCAGTAAATTAAATTTAATAATTTCGAAAAAATAATTTTATCTAAAATATTTATTACAGGCAGGAAGTAAAGATATGCATCAGGGAAGCTATATCAAAATTCATAAGAAAGGCTCATCTTTACTTAAAGATGCAAAGAAGCTTGCTATCATATTCCTATGTGTATATAACTAATTAAAATCCAAAGAAAAAGGAAAGCATAGGAGCCAACTTGTACAGACAGGGTTGCCTGGTAAGTCCTGTAATTTTCACTTAAACTTTTTTAAAATTTTCCCCAAATCCGCCAAGTTAAACCCTAATTTTTTTATTCTTATTTTATATTATTGTAGCTAAATTATCTTTATAGAAATCAGGTAAGGATAAATTATAAAAAAGGCATATTTAGTATTTTTATATTATTTTAAATTTGTCAAAATAGTTCAAAGATCTAATGAAATTAATTACTTAAAATCAATGAATATTAATTTTGTTGACTCCTTTTGCCCTGTTTTTAATATTGGAGATTCTTGACCTTATTGTCATGACAAGGTAATGATTGAAGTCATTGTTAGTTCCTTTTCGATTGTCCTTAATGGATGTATAACTTATGCATATCACTTATGATGGTATATCTGGTTGACAGTAAGCTCAGTAGGCGCGCCAAATACCCTTTTTTTTGGGGTGGAAAGAGGGTACTGCCAATAATTAGATTCTGTGAATAATGGTATCGAAGCTGGAAGATTAAATTGAATCCAGACGATTTCTATCAAATCACCTTTACCCGTCATCGTAAACCTATAGTACTTTAGAATCTTTAACACCAGTAGACACACACACACACAACATGTGTATGGTGCTACTGCCTAGAGTTAATTATAACATTTGTTTAAATTAATTTTTCTAAATAATCCTGGCAATTTTGACCTCGTTGATGTGCAGCCATTAAAGTGTTAAATTGTAAATCTTATCATTGCTAAACAGATTCACTAAGCCTCCATCTTGAAAAATAGTAGCACAGATTGAAATCTGTTGGATGTTTTAAATATTTACTCAAGATTTTAAGTTGTTATAAAAATTATTGTAACCACATAATTTTCATTAGGATATTTGAACTTTGGACATCTATGGAAATCATTCGAAAACTTTTTCATTATGGTCTTAATATTCATCTGTAGTAGATTAAGCTATTATTATTGAGAAAATAAGGATACAAAAGTTACAGCTGTTTCTGTAAGGTCTTAGAATATCATAGAAATTTTCGCCCATTTCCATCTTTTTAGTGCCATGGTCTCAATCTGAAATAAGAAGTTTTTAGAGCTTCAACTAATAGCTGCTATTATGCTCTTCGTCAAGCTAGAGAACAGGTTGATCTTCAGAATAGACTACCAGTAGACGCTGTGGACGTACCAGTCTGGCTGACAATTATCAAGAGTTTCGACTGTTCCACAAAAAGACAAACAAGGACACGGTGAACTAAATCTTCCTACTTCCATGAAGTCCTTTCATCAGCTCCCAGCTCCAAATCAAAATGGATACTCTTCCGTAAACTTTCGGTGGACTATCTAGTAGAATCCCTCCCTTAGTAGTCCTTCCAGTTTCAGCTGATGATTTAAATTCACAATTAAAATATGCTTCCTTGCCCATTTCTCGAATACCACCTCCTGCTTTTATCCTGGAACATCTTTTAACGATAAGGACATCTATTTTTTCCGACATTTCACCCATAGACATCAGTCGAATCTATTGGACCATCACCAAGCAGATTTCCAACCCGGTTACTCCTCACAATCCTCCCTAATTTAAATCACTAGTGTGATAATCAGTTTGCTTACTCACTCACTGCATGGCATTATGGTCCATTAAGAACCAAAGCCGACTCCTTTATCCTGCTCCACTCTATTTTATCCATAGCCTTGGTGCGCCATCATCTAACGTTAAACTGTTGTAAATCCTCTTTCACATCATATATCCATCGTTTGTGAGGCTTACCTCTTTTTAGGCACCCTATCCACATGTCCAAGCCAGCCCAGTATTCTTTTCTTAATAACTTGCTTTATATCCGCTCTTTCAAGTCAATGTTTATCCTTATTCTATATCCACCATACTCCCGCACAGACCCAAATATCTTCCGCAGTACTCTTCTTTCCTATGTTCTAAGCCTCTTTTCACTAGCCATCATTTCAGGTTTCACCACTGAATAATAATGTGAGCCTAATTAAAAAAAAAAAAAATCTGTACGACAACCCAAAGGGTCTTGAGTTCAGTACTATGTGAGGAAGTACTGCTACAAAGCTAATGGTAGTGCAGAGAGGTGATTGAATAAATGAATGAAATGAATGAAAATAATTATATTCGGCCATATAGCATGTATAAAATACTAGCGTGATTGGGCCGAAATCAGATTTCCCCCCTTAATTATTTATTTAATTAAGGGTACCCACTTTAAGGAGGGTGGGTGTGCCCCAGGAGGGTCTCCCAACCAGCATCGATCCACGGCTTATGAAAAATTACTTGTCATCAGCCGGATTCAAACCTAGAACCTTGAGCTCTGGAAGTGCTCATCCATTGAGCTACCCCGTTCCTCTGGTATTTAAAAAGTACCAGGAAAAGAGGACCTTCTTGCCGTTAGTCACGTTCCACTTTGAATGTGTAGGATATGTGCGAATGGACTTCGACTCTGTAAGACACATTTTTATCAGACCTATAAGTTTTTTGGGCATATGCATCTTGTTTAGTACAAACAGCAGTTGCTTTATGTCAATACTGTCCTATGCTTGCTTAAATTCTATAAATAAGTGTTGAAGCATTAAATTATACTCCTTATGATTTCCAACATTTAACTACGTGATAAAAAGTGATCAGTTGTGGATCTTTTTGGCCTAAAATCACTTTGGTGTTCCCCAATCGTTCCTTTGGCCTATATACTCACTCCTTGGCATAAGGCTATTGGCATAATTTTATATGCAGTGTTTAGTAGGGATATAGCCCGGTAATTCTCGCAATGAAGTTTGCCTCCCTTTTTATAAATAGGACAGATAATAGCTTCTGACCAATCACTTGCCATTTTTTATCCATCCATATATTCCATGTTATGTGGTATAAATGTTCCCAAAGATCTCTCCCTGGCCCTTCTCTGCATCAGTTTCTTCTTAGCTTCATTTCTATTCTATATTGCCTTTTGTCACTCCTCATCGAACCAATACTTTCTCTGGGACTTTGCTGTAACTACTAGGGTTTCAGTAACTCTCTTCAGCATTTCCTTCAAAGTGTCCCCACACCTCTTCTCTATATTTGTTTTTCCTTCTGCTGTGGTTTTCTGAATGGAACTTTGGAGCTTTCATATAGAGAAATAGGGATATAGACCCTGCCTGATCCGATCATCCTTAAAAGTTTCCACATTGTAAATCGCATTCATCTTTTGGGTGTTTTGCTTCTGGGCTATTGTCAGTCTTTGTTAATTAGTAAATAGTGGTTACTACAGCATTCTGCTTCACAGTAACTTCTTACATCTGAGACGTGATTTGCAGTCA